TTAACTAATAAATGTTCACAATTAAAATATAAATTTAATATAATTATAACAATATTTTATATGATTTTATTATATAATGAAATAAATTAAAAAAAAAAAGATATAAATATCCAACAAAAAATATAAAATTTAAAATAGTTTGGCAAATCAATTTACAAAATTATTTCATATGAATTTAAACTAGAATTATAATGAATTAGAATGAAACATAAACTTCCAAAAATAACAATGAAAAGTTATGAGAATTCAAATCAGGAAACATCAGGGATAGTATTAAATCAAATTACCTTAATATGGCTTCATGTTTTAAGTAAATTTAAATTGGAATCTTCTTAAAGCTCCTAAAAACTCAATCAGATAATCAAGATAATTTTAAATTTTAAGCTGAAGTCAATTGAATTATATCATAATCACTCTTGAAAAAAAAGCTTCCAAAAATAGATATAAATTTGTATTAATCTAAAATATTAATAAAATAAAAATAAAGTAAAAATATTAAATATAATTCATTAATACTTACTTAAATAATTTTATTTTAATAATAATTCTTAAATATTAATATATTATGAATTTTTTTTTATTTAATATTATGATTTTTTTTGTGTATTTGTGACAAGAGTAATATAATTTTCAAATTCAGAAATATGATATTTTTTTATAAAATGTTTGAATCCTATAAATTTTATATAATGTTTATATGAAATTGTTATATATTTTATTAATATATATATATATATATATATAAATAAATACCTATAAATAAATGAAATAATCCTTTATTTGGTGAAAATAAATCTTGAAGTATTTTTAATAATACTTCCAAATTATTTGTTTTTGTATAATCTTGTATCATTGTTGCAAATATTTTATAATCTGTTTCTGATAAAGAAAGTTTTACCTAAGAAATATATATATACTTAAGTTTTTGAATGTATATATAATTAAGCAAATGTTATTATAATATTAATTTATTATTAAAATTTTTAAATCATATACTTTTAATTAATTATGATCAATTATATATATAAATATAAAAATATATATAAAGTATAAAAAGAACTTACTTCTTTTAAATACATTTTGCCCAAAGTTTTTTTATCAGTCTTATTACTAGTTTCTTCTAATACTTGTTGAGAATGTATTATATTATTTGTACCTTCTCTATTCTCACATGAAGAAGTTGAAGGACCTGATAAATGTTCATTAAATTCTATTGGCAACATTTTTATTTTTCTTTTTTTTATAATTGGTTCACTAATATTTTTTGTTAGCTCACAAGTGACATAATTTCTTTTCAATTTACAATCACTAAAATTAATTATAGGCTTTGATTCTGTTTCTAAAAGTTCAAATAAATTTTTTCTTTTTGTTTCAGTTAATTGTTTATTTTTCTTATCTTCATTAATATAAGTATCAATAGTAAAAGTATCTTCAGAAGATATTACAATATCCTCTTTAGAAGTAACTTTTACGTTTCGTGATACAGTTGTGTCAAATGATGCTGAGACTGCTGGTAATGAAACACAACTATTTGTAGATTGTATATTAATTATATTTGGTTGTGGAAACTGAAAATAATTATTAAAAATAACAGTACTTAAGTATTTTCTTTTTATAAAATTAAACTTACAGTATGTTCTGCATATCTAAAAAAACCTTTTAACTCTTTTACAATGATACCAAAACAAGCAAAATTTTTTATATGAGGTCTGAGCCAAGCAGATAACTGTTTTTTAAAACTTAGGTTATCAAATCGATGATCACAAAGAATTATAGCCCCATAATCATTTTTGTGACGTATTATACGACCAATAGCTTGATTAACAGCTCGTGATGCTTCAAGTTGATACCACTGTTGGCCAGATAAAGTCTAAAAAATAATATATATAAAATAAAAATATTTAACTTTTTACTACATATTTTATAAATTGTTAAATTCAAATTACTTCTTTATCTTGTTTTCTTATCTCTTCCAAATATCGTTGTTTTAATATAACTCTAGGATCTTTTAAAGGTGGAAATGGAAGACCAGTAATTAATACAGCTCTTCCATTTGCATTGGCAAAATCAAGTCCTTCACTCACTTTACCTCTACAAACTGCCATAAAAATAGCTCCTTTACATGAAGGATCTTTAATTTTTTCATAATACTCATTCATAACATTAATAAAACCATCTTTATATTGTGGTTCAACATATATAGGCTGATATATAAATAAATAGTTTTATCAGTTTTATAATTTATTATATCTTATTATGTATTATCATTTTAATATAAATATTAAAGATAATTACTTTACGATCTGCAATTTTAGTCCACAAACCTGCATTTTGCCATTCTTCTTTACATTTTTTCATTATTGGATATGAAGGAAAGAATACAAGTAAACCATAAGGAACAAGACAACTAAAATTAAATATTGTTTGTCCAAGGGATCCTATGTATTTTGGATCATTTCTAAATATAAATTATAATTTTTAAATGACATATTATGAAAATTAATATTTTTTAAAAATATATTTAATAATATAACAAAATATAATAAAAATACCTTGTATTAAAAGAAGAATTTAATAAATAACCATCAGGACCTCGACTAAGTATACCAACACAAATTTGATCTTCTTTTACAATATGTGAATTTTCTAGTTGAATTTCAATTGGTATTCCAAGTTCAGATATGAAAGGTTTCAAAGGAGATAATGTACCACTTGTTAATATTATTGCACGTGCTCCTTGGTTTTTGAGTTGTTGCATACTTTATTGTTGTAATCAATATATAAAGATCAATATATTTAAAACTAAATACAATAATATAATTAAAATTTACCTAAATCCAGGACTAAAACACCAATAATTAATAATTTTGCCTTCATTTTTTGGAATTTTTTTTTTCTCCCAAATATCAGTTTGTTTTGATTTTTTCTGTTCTTCTAATTGTATATATACTTTATAATATTGTTTGATTTTTTCTTTAGAGAGTAAACTATTATCACTACTAAATGCAGTTTTTAATAAATCACTGAATTTTTGAAGTGCATTACCTTTTCTTGTAAATGGAGAAGTGCTTGTAGTAGTTAAATAAAAAACAATTTTTTCTAATTTTTCTATTACAAGTTGTTCTCTGCCATGAGTTAACTGTTAAATATATTTATTATTTTTATTTATTAAATAAATATTAGATATTTTATAATCATATAAAAATATTGTTATATTATATAATTATATTAGAATATATAATTTAATTGTTTACTTGTGCCTTTCCTAGTAATTCAAAAATGTATTCACCAGGAAATGTATCTCCTTCATCACGTTTTACAATTGATATAGCATCAATAGCTTTTTCCAATTCCAAAAACATAGCTTTCAAAATACATAAATCATCTGCAGTAAAATCTTTTTGGACATTTTCTGAATTTTCTATTAAAAAATTATTTTGTTGTTCAATATCCTTAGCCATATCTTCCATTACAACTGTTATTTCATCAATGCACATTGCAATATCTGTACTAGATATCTATAAAAATTTTATAAAAATCAATTTATTTTTTATAACATTCAATATTATTAAAATCAATTAATTATTTGTAATATAAATTACAATATATAATTAAATTAATATAATTAATTTAATACTTGTAATGATGCTGTTTCTTCACAGATTTTCTCAATATTATGTGCTTCATCAAAAAGAATGATATTGTTCTGTATATCTATACCCTGTATTTTTCGTGATTTTGTATCTAATATATAATTATATGGCATAAAAATGATATCTGCATTTTGTTTGAGTTCTCTGGATAAAAAATATGGACAACATTTGAATTTTTGTCCAGCTTTTACTAAATCTTCTATATCAAGTATTTCTTGTTTAAAAAATGGATCATCTTTTCTAAAATATATATATTTTTATTAATAATATATTAATAAAATTTAATAAAGCTATTAAAAAATATTAATAATATAATCTTGCACCTGCTTTCAACATTATTATAATAAAAACATGTTCTAGACTTTACTTTAGAATGACACATATATATCTTGTTTGAACTATTAGTTTCTTTAGAAACTTCTGGATGAATACATAATTGATCTCGAGATCCTAATACAGCTGTGCCTACATGTTTATAAGAAGTTCTTTTTAATTCTTGCATTGCTTGTGAAAGCTGAGAATGAGTTCTAGATGCATAAATAATTTTTGGTGCATTCCAATTAAAAGTAATAATAGGTTCTGAATTTCCTGTACTTTTTTTGAGTTCATTATTTAATTGTTTGAAAAAATGTCCACCAAAATTGGGTTCTTCAATTGTATTCACTAATGATTGTGCTTGTAATTGAGCTTTTTTTGTTAATAACCAACTTAAGGAAGAACATAAAAGACTGAGTGTTTTTCCAGTACCTATTTTTTATAAGTTAATTTTAATATTTTGATTACTAATTGTGTATATAATAATAAAAAGATTAAATTATACCGGTTGGAGATTCTAAAACACCATTTTTACTATTTTGAAGACATTGTATCACTTTTGCCATATATTCTTCTTGTATCGAATATGGTTTAAAAGGAAAATTTATAATAATATTATTAATTGTCACATCTGGCATTGTATCGTTATAAATTTTATGATATATATAATTCAATTTTTTTATAATACAAAAAATATCAATTTAAAAATGTTAACATCAATGGACAACGCATTCCCGCCAGATTCTAAAGAAAGGTGCCATTAAAAATGTATATATACCTAACAATCATTTATATTTGCTTTAATTTTATATTAATTAATTATAGTAATTAATTTTTCTTTTTTTTTTCTTTAAAAAAAATATTATTTGAAAGAAAAATATTTTTTTTAGAAAAAAATTTTCCAAAATATAATTAATTATTAAATTAAAAATAAAAAGATTTTATTTTCTATAAATATATATATTATGAACATTTTTTGTAATATTTAATATAAGTAAAATTGTGTATCAATCAATTATCATTCAGTTTTTAAAAAAAATTATTTTCAAGTATTGCATATCTATAAGTGGAATATTAAATTTTTTGCAAAGTAACAAAGACTCGAGATTAGGTCAGTTGTACATCAGCTGATGTCTGACCGATTATTGCAAAAGAAGTTCTTAATTTTTTTCAGGTTTGTACACTTTTTATTGTGTTTTATTTAATTTTTTATAATAAATATAATTAAGTTTGACATAATATAAAATTTAAAAAAAAATAATATATTAAAATTTATTAAATAAATTTATCGTATATGCTTTAATGCTTATATGCTTTAATAGTAAAGACCAATGGTTATTGACCTTTAAAATAAGCTACGAAAGACCATTCAACATTCTTGTGTTTAACATAGCGCGCATAAGATATAAGAATGTAATTAAATTAAAGTTCCTACAAAGAAACAATATATTAAATATATTTAATGTATTTGTTAATTTTGTAAGATTTGGAAAATAAAAATTAATAAAAAGAAAGTAATAAATGAGAATAAAATGCATTTGATTTATTTCAATGAAACGAAATATTTCGTATAAATATGAAGATAATGTAAAACTTAAGTATATATCATTTTTCTGTGTGTTCAGATAAAAAGGTCGTTGTCATAAGATATCTTTTTATATAAGTACAAAGGTATCCATATAAATTTTATTAAGAACTGATTGTATTATTTATAAAATAAATAAAAATATCAATTATAGTATGGAAATATTATATTATATTATATTATATTTATGAATTGTTTAAATTTTACTTTATATATTTTCTCTATCATATCTTACAATTCTCTATATTTTACATTTTTCAGTTTTATAATATAAAATAAATTTAATATGCGTTTAGTAATCTGTGATACAGTGGATTATGTAGCAGAATGGTCTGCTAAATATGTTTTAAAAAGAATTAATGATTTTCAACCAAATGAAAATAAATATTTTATTCTTGGTCTCCCAACAGGTATTTATTTTTTATACAAGTAAACTGAAAATTTATAATTTAATATTAATAAATTTTTATTAAAATAATAATTATTATTTATTTTTGAGGTGGTACACCTTTGGGAATGTATAGAAAACTTATAGAATATTATAAAGCAGGAAAAATTTCCTTCAAGTATGTAAAAACTTTTAATATGGATGAATATGTTGATTTACCCAGAGACCATCCAGAATCTTATCATTATTATATGTATAATAATTTCTTTAAGCACATAGATATAGATCCACAAAATGTGCATATTCTTGATGGTAATGCACCTGATCTTATAAAGGAATGTGATGATTTTGAAAACAAAATTAAAGAAGCTGGTGGTATTGAATTATTTATTGGTGGTATGCAATTTTATTATATGGAAATAAATAAATACATTTATATAAAAAATTTATATGAATAAAAAAATGTTATGTTTTAGGTATTGGTCCAGATGGTCATATAGCTTTCAATGAACCAGGTTCTTCTTTAGCATCACGTACAAGAGTAAAGACATTGGCGCAAGATACATTAGAAGCTAATGCAAGATTTTTTGGAAATGATATTTCCAAAGTGCCAAATCAAGCATTGACTGTTGGTGTTGGCACAGTGATGGATGCTAAAGAAGTAATGATTCTTATTACAGGTTCTCATAAAGCATTTGCTCTTTATAAGGCAATAGAAGAAGGTATTAACCATATGTGGACTGTATCAGCTTTTCAACAACACCCACGTACAATAATTGTTTGTGATGAGGATGCAACTTTAGAATTACGTGTGAAGACAGTAAAATATTTTAAGGTGTATTTAAATAATCATATTTTCTTAAAAATTAAATTTAAAATCTTTAAAATCTTTAATAATTTTGTTTAAATATTTAAATTTAACAATACATTTATATTTTAATTCAAATAATTTATGTACTTATTTTATCTTGAATTTTTATAATATACAGGGTCTCAGTGCTATACATCAAAAATTGATTGAGGAAGATGGAAATACGATTCTTCGTCGTTCAGTACAATAAAAAGAAATGGTAGTCATTTTTTATATATATTTTTTATTAAAAATATATTTTGCTTTTTATTTTTTAATTATAAAATAGAGTAAAAATTTTATAATCTATATTTTATTATTAATTAATTAAATTTTTATTTTGTTTATGAAATTAATCCATTTTTATATTTGATATAATTTTAATTGTTTAATTAAAATTAATTTTAATAATGATTAATTAAATATATAAATGATATTAAAAAAGTAAAAAATTATAATAATTCGTGGTTAGATAAAATTTAAAGTATATTAATTTTTATAGAATTTATGGAATTTTTAATTCATGAAATTTATAATATATAATTCATAATCCAAACTAATTAATGAACTTGAAAAATCAATTTAATATAATATAAAATTTTATCGTTATATATATAAAAATATATAAAGTCTCATATAAAAAAGGACTTAAAATAATGGATCTGACAAATTTCTAATTACATATACATCATGTGAGAAATATCATGTTGGATATGAAGACTTTATATAATATATACACATGCGCGCGCGCGCGCGCACACACATATATTTCAATAAAACATGAATTATAATATTGTTATTGTTTCATATTTTTGTATTATTATATTTTTTCATAAATAAATTTATCCTTTTTATTATATAAATCGTTTTTTTTTAAAAAATAATTCTTATTTCATTCGTTTATGAAACATATATCTTGTTTAGCTTATTTATTTTTACATATATACTTTTCCAATTCGTATTTGGTATTTAAAAAAAAGATTATATTTCTTTAATTCTTCTTTAAAAAGATAAGTAATATTTCAAATGAATTTAAAATTAAAAAATTAATTGGATATTTCAGCGCTAATTTATAAATATAATTTTTATCATTAAATTTATAAATAAAACATTATATATAAGTATATAAAATTTTTATAAGATTAATTGCAATATTTATTCATTATGATTCATAACTTGAAATTAGTTATAAACATAACTGCTAGAAATTCTCATTTAATTTTTGATAATAATAAAGAATAACAGGTAATAAAACATGAAGAAAGATTGAGAATCCATACGTGGCATTATTTACTTGACTAGATTTAATTTCTCTTCTTATCTCCTAGTAGAATGGTAATTTTAATACATTTATGTATAAGATATATATCTACGAAAAAAACTCGTGTATATAATATATTATACATTTCTTTTTTAAACAAACCATACAATAAATTAATAAATATTTTTAATTAATATGATAAAAGTATTTAAAAAAAATGATAAAATTATTTCTTTTTCTTTATTTATAATCTGTTATGAATAATATAATATTTTAGAGAAAGTACGCGAATGCATGTTTTTAAAATACGTTTGAATCCTCTTTTAAAATCGAGGACAAATCGACGATAATAAGTGGGAGAAACGATTGCGAGCAGAAACGATCATTATCACGATGAAGAAAGATGATAAGTGAAATCACAATACAATCTACGCTAGTATAACTTACTTATCAGCATCGTATTGGTTTGAATAGTTGAAATATATATCAATTGGGATTATCTAATAATACGCATTGATAATCCCAAAATTGATAAGAACGTTAATCTTGTCAGTAATCTGATCTTATAAATTCAATCAATATTTAAGACGGCTATTAGTAGTTCTTTGGATTCTTTGTTATTTGTGATTGATTCATAAAAAAATATTTTGTGAGCTATTTCTATAAATATTTGACATAACACGTACTATTCTCCCCTATAATCATGGATAGTAGTGTATTTGAAATGAAACAAGTTGTACTCCGCGATCTTGATTCCGTTTTAAAAATCGAAGATCAAATGGTTGTGGAAAATTATACCACTAAATCGTTGCTACCTCCTGGTGAAAATTATGGAAGTACAATTTTCAGCGTTCATATTGAGTTGAAGAATAAAATTACAGAAAAGAAGGAAGATCTTCATCTTATCGCGAAGATGTGTCCACCAACAGAATATCAAAAAGAACTTTTTAATAGTTCCCGCACATTCATAAAAGAAATTTTTATGTATGAGACCATTATGCCGGCTTATAATAAATTAGAATTAGAATGCGGATTGAAAAAAAACGAAGTGTTTGAACTTTTGCCAAAATTTTATGGGGCTAGATTGTCTTTACAACCAGATGGAGAATTTGATGAAGACGCTGTTCTTCTTATGGAGAATCTAAAAGTTAAGGGTTATTATAGCGCCGACAGAGCTACAGGTATTTACATGTACATACATACATACATACACACATATAAATTAGTTAACAGATTTCTCATTTATGTTGAAAATTATACAGCAAGAGCTATGATATAAAAATATATATAAAATGCAATACCACAGAATGTGCATGAATATGGAAAAAAATGCAAAATATCTAAAGTATAATATTATATTTAAGGAATAAAGCAGATCTCTATTTCAAAAATTCCATTTTTTTTTAAATATATAGCGTAACTTTTCCTTATAATTTTAAAATTTTAAGTTCTAAATATTAGATTCTTATAATTATAATTTTAAAAGTTTATTTATAGATATCATTTTCATGATATGCTCACGTATATCGGTAACTTTGAACTTTTTCTTATCATTTATCACGTTACTAAATTCTTTTATTGTTATATGTTTGTTTTTTGTATTAAAAGATTTAAATACGTATATGTTAATTTTTTATACAATTTTTCACTGAAAAAATTTTACAACATACAAAAAAATTAGAAATTTGATGAATACGAAACATTGAACTACGATCAAAAAATATATTAAATATATTTTTTACATGGCAATAATAATAATTTTTGTTTGCGTTACATTAAAGATATGCGATCGTACGCAATAGAGAATAATTCCTTTTCCAAATCCAGAGCGATGCTTTTACAGATAACTCAGTTGTGCACACCTCGCATATTTTTATCGTTGAATGATAGAATCGATTGTAAAAACCTTGTAATACTGTGAAACAAATTTTCTTTTTAACATCATGAATCAACTCATCACATTTGTATTATATATATTACGTGAAAATATTTAAAAATTATTTTATTCGATGATTTTTACGCAGGTTACGATTTAGATCATGCGGGGGAAGCCGTAAAAGCTATGGCCAGATTCCATAGTTTGGGAATAGCGATGAAACAAAAAAGACCGGGTATATTCGAGATGTTCAAAATGTATGCGAAACCTTTACAACATGCACAAACCACCTCAGAACAGATGTTCGGATTAATATTGGAACAGATAAAGAAAGATCCAGAAATAAGTCCTCATTTCGATAGATGTAATAAAATTTTATCAAAATTGAAACTGGAGGAATTGTGGGCAGATTCGTATAGAGAACCATGGATATCCATCATTCACTGCGATTTCTGGGTGAACAACGTGATGTTTCATTGTAACGATAAAGGAAAGATAGACAATGTGAAATTCGTTGATTTTCAAATATATCTTTACGGAAGTCCTATGCGCGATCTGCTCTTTTTCCTTTATTCTAGCGTGAAACTCGAAGTAACGGAGGACGAAATCGACGCTCTCATAGATCTGTATTATGAAACTGTAATAGACACGTTAAATAAAATGGGATGCGACACGAGCAAATTTAGCAGGGAAGGATATAAAGAGAAATTGGCTGAGGATGCTGTACGCGAGTTCAGCCATATAAGCTTTATGATAAAGATGCTCACGTTAGATACGAAGGAAATCGAAAATTTTGATGTAAATAAAATGCACGAGGTATTGGTTCAACATACTGGAAATGAGTTATTTAATAAACGATTACGGAAACTGGTACTGTGTTTCGTACAACGCAATTGGATATAGATAAATTAAATAATGAAGAAAAATTATATCTTTTATAAGCATAAAGTGTTGATTTTTATATGATCATAATGTGTCATTTCTTTTTTGAAACAATAGAGCATGATTGTTCCGCTCTGTTATATCACGTATCGTTCTAGTTATATCACGGAAATATTATTTTGATCGATATATATATGTAATTGATTCATCTGTAATCATTGATTTTATCTGTAATTAGAAAAATGTAATCAGTTTAATTAATATCATGTGAATAACATAAATCAATCATATTTTGCAACAAAAAGATATCGAGTTTAAATAATTAATTATATAAATAATAACGAAAAATTTGATCGAAGTGATAATAATCATGATAAATAGTCATTTCATTAAACAAGTTTCTATTTGTTGTATACATTTTTTTATGTATATAACTTTTATATGTTATATTCAGATATATATACAGGTATAGGTATCATAAATGATAACATTGTGTGTTTATTACGATATCGCTATGATTTCAATTTTATAAAAGTAGAATTTGATCGATATGAATAAATTTTTATCTATAAATTATATAAATCAATTGTATGAGAATGTATTTCTTAAAAATTTATATTTTCAGAAAATCAATTGCATTTACGTTAGATAACAAGATTAGTCATTTTAATTTCTACGAGTCAGATATTGTAACATGTTTTAATTGTATAGCTCAATATTTGATGAATTGTCCGTTTAGATTGTTACTTTGATTTTCATGAGTCAGAGAGTTTAATGAATCTTAAAATAATAATATTAATGAATTGTCCATATGGAAGACAAATATTTCCTATTAGGATATATAGAATTATCATGTAATAAAATAAAAATTAAATATTGAAATGAATTAAAATCTTTTTTTAAATATAATATGTGTATTTATTCAATCTATATGTTGATTAAACTTATCTCGTACAAGAAAATATGATAATAATAAAGATAAACGAAAAATATATTAATTAATCTTATTTTTTTTTTTACGTAATTACGTACGTATACATATATTGTTTCTAATTACATTTTTTTAATTTAAAAAATTTTTCCTTGGCAAATTGTAGTTACAAGACAAAATATAAAATATTAATATTTATGTTTCATTATGTTCAAATATACAAAATTTTTTCTTTTTTTTTAAATAAATTCTATATTTTTTTATTCTATATTCTATATTTTTTATCTATATATTTAGAGTATAAAAAAATGCTGATAATATAAAAATAGAATGATAATAAAAAAAGAAATTTAATGTAATCTTTTAGTTATCTTTAATGATAAAATATCCAGTATCATTATAAAAACTTCTTTATTATATTTCGAAATAATATCTTGAAACAAAAAATTTTTTTCATTGATATGAAAAAATAAATAATATGAAAAAATAAATATGAATAATATTCATGAAAATCTACGATAATTATCATGAAAAAAAATGATAAAAAATAAAAATTCGCAATACAATTAATATTTAAATTTTGATTATTATACAATGTAAAACTAAAAAAAGAAATCAATATTTTTTAATTCTTTTAAAATAAGTGAGAAATATAATAAACTAGATAACATGATAAATGTAATAAACTAGATAACATGAAAAATTTGCTAGTACATATTTATATTTTATTAAATAATTTTATTAATTATAATTTATTAATTTATTTATTGTAAAAATATTTTATCTATTTTCAAATATAATGTTATATGATAAATCACGTGTTTCTAAGTATTTTTATTTCATGATAAAATTAATCATGATATGATTGATGATTTAATAATTTTTGAACAGTTTATAGATATTTCAAATTTCAAAATAATCTTGGATAAGATTTTTAAAAGTTATTATAATATAAAAAATTATTTTTTTTTAAATAAACAAATGATATTCTTATTTTCAATTTCTCATATTAATTTTTTTTAACATTATTTTCTATTTTTTTATCATAAAAATTTCATGAAAAAATATATATAGTTGTTCAAATTGAAAATAGTTTTTAATAGAAATTAAAAATTAATTAATTATAAATGACATTCTTAATAAAGTATTTCTGTTCTGATGAGAATGAAGAAATAAAAAATATAAAATAAAGAAAAAAGAAATAAAAAAAATATAATAAATAAAGCTAAACAATGCTATAATAATAAGCAAGTCATGAGCGATAATATATTGTATGCACATAAAAGTGAATCATGTAACATGATCTTCAATATTTCGTAATCTTTTAAAATAACTTTAATCATTTTAAAATGATTCTTCAATCATGAAAATAACTGTTACTAAAATAAATTATTTCTTGTATGAAATATTACAAATATTACATAGTATAGAAGAAGATATATTTAGTGTTTTTAATTTCTTTACAGATATAAAATAATAACTATAAATTTAATATTTATTATATTTATTATT